ACAGGAGAGCAGGAGGTGAGCACGGGAGGTCTGGCCGGCTCCTCCCTCCTTGGAAGACTCCACCCACGTGGCTGGCTGCAAGGAGCTGGCTGGAGGGGACTTGCTGAGTGTGTATGGCTATGCACATGTGGGATGGCTGCAGACCTGAGGACATTCGTGTGCAAGGTGGTGGGGCAGGAGGGGGCTGGTTTACTCTTCCAGCACTGTCAGCAGAGACCTTTGCAGAATGTCAGAAAAGGAGGAGGCAGGGGTGAAGCCTGTGTCTGTGTCCTGAGGCTGCCATAACAATGACCACAAACTGGTGACTCAGAGCAACAGACATTCATTCTCCCACAGTCTGGAGGCTAGAAGTCTGAGATCAAGATGTGGCAGAGCCGTGCTCCCTGCAGAGACTCCAGGGGGATCCTTCCTGCCACTTCCAGCTTCTGGGGGCTTCAGGTGTTCCTTGACTTGTGGCCGCATCGCTCCAATCCCTGCCTGTGTCTTCCCATGGCTGGCTCCTCATCTCCATGTCTCTCCTCCTCTGTAGTCAAATTTCCCTCCTGCCTCCCTCTTGTAAGACACTTGTGATTACATTAATGCCCATCCTGATAATCTGCGACAACCTGCCCATTTCAAGACCCTGAACTTCATCGCATCTGCAAAGATCTCTCTTCTACACATGGTCACATTCACAAGAAACAGGGACCTGGATATTTGGGTGGGGGTAGAATTATTTACAGCCGCCACAAACCCTGCTGGAATTGTACCCACTTAGGGAGCACGGGTCCTCTAGAGGATGAGGTTGTTTTGCTATGAGGATATTTTGGGTCCCAGGCTCCTCCCTTGCTAAGAAGTGCAGACACTGTCTGGCTGGCAGAAACAAAGGAGGTCTGTGGACCCCTGGTGCCCCGCGCTTGTGAGAGTTGCGCCACGTTCTGTGCAAGCTCTGCTTGGAGAGGGGAACAGTCACATAGCTCATGGCCTCCTTTACAATGCTGTCTTCGTGCTCCCCTCCTCCCCACAGCCTCTCCTTCCCCCACCCACACTTCCATCCCACAAGGGTCCCTATTTCCAAAGGAAAGCCAGGTTGGGGGGGTCCCTCACCTTTTCCCGCAGTGACCCCTACAGCATCAAGGTCCATGTGGGGCCTCTAGCAGCCCGAGGCACTGTTCGTAAGTTGTCCCCAGGCCAGGTTTCCCATAGGAGGCCACAGAAATCCACCAGGTGGAGAATGTGGGGGCCACGGCTAAGTTATAACAAAGTAGATAGTTGGGGTAGCAGATGACCAACGGGGGCACCTTCCTGTTTAGGGCAATGCTGTGGGCGGATGGAACCGTGTCCCCAAGGTCCACATATGAGAAACTTAATATCCACTGCAACTATTGAGGGTGGGAAATCTTATTATGGCACTTGAAAGGTGAGGCCTTGAAGAGGTGATTAGATTCCAAAGATCATGCCTAGTGAATGGATTGATAATGGTGGTCATGGGCTTGGTTCTGAGGGTTTTAAAAGGAGAGCACGTGAGAGCCTTTCTCTCTCTGCTCTGCCATTTTCTGCCGTGTGAGACCCCTGCGTTGCTGTAAAGCCACCACCAAAGAGGACCCTCACCAGATGTGTTCCCTGGACTTTGGACTTCTCAGCCTCTGAAACTATAAGCAATAAATTTCATTTTCTTTATAAATCACCCAATTTCGGGTATTTTGTTATAAGCAACAGAAACAGACTAATACAGAAAATTGGTACCAGAGAAGCGGGGTGTTGCTTATAACAGATACTTGAAAATGTGGAAGCAGCTTTGGAACTGGGTGTTGGACAAAGGTTGGAGGAGTCTGGAGGTCTCAGAAGAAGACAGGAAAACCAGGGAAAGTTTGAAATATCTTAGAGACTGGTTACATGGTGCTGAGCAGAATATTGATAGAAATATGGGCAGTAAGGGACACTCTGGCAAGGTCTCAGATGGAATTGAGGAGGGACTTATTGGAAACTGCAGCAAAGATCACCCTTGCTATGAATTTTCAAGGAGCTTTTCTTCATTCCGTTCATGCCCAGAAGTTTTATAGAATGTGGAACTTCAAAGTGCTGACCTAG